TTTTGAGATGGAGTCTCGCTCTGTTGCCCAGGCTGGAGTGTAGTGGTTCGATCTTGGCTCACTGCAAGCTCTGCCTCCTGGGTTCACACCATTCTCATGCCTCAGCCTCCCAAATAGCTGGGACTACAGGTGCCCGCCACCGTGCCCGGCTAGTTTTTTTTGTATTTTTAGTAGAGACAGGGTTTCATCGTGTTAGCCAGGATGGTCTCGATCTCCTGACCTCATGATCCGCCCACCTCAGCCTCCCAAAGTGCTGGGATGACAGGCGTGAGCCACCGCACCCAGCCTAATTTTTTTTTTTATAGAGGCAGGGTATCACTATGTGGCCCAAGTGTTGGGATTACAGGCATGAACCACCACACCCAGCCTAACTTTTTAAAAAATACACCCCATAGGTTGGGTGTGAAAGCTCATGCCTGTAATCCCAGCATTTTGGGAGGCTGAGGCAGGAGGATTGCTTGAGCCCCAGAGTTTGAGACACCAGCCTGGGAAACAGAGTGAGACCCCATCTCTAAAAATAAAAGAAAAATATACATATACATATTTTTAAAATATATAAAATATACCCCATACATCCTCACCTGTCAGATCATAAGCATTTATCTGATACCACAGAAGAGTTACACAGTATTCCTCTGTGTGGATTCATTTATTCATTCACTCATTTATTCTGCAAATATCTATCAACGCCATCCTACGTGCCAGGAACTATGCCTCAGTCACAGATGAGAATGAGACCAACTGGGACCCTGGGGGTCTTGCAGTCTCCTGGGGAAGGTTGAGATGAATCAAACCACCACAGAAATAAATGTAAAATGACAGCAGATGTAAATGAGAGTGATAGCAGCATGTGCCATAACAAATGCATCCATGAGAACTAACTCCACAGCCCTGCGCCTCTTCCCACCAAGTCTTAGAAATCAGGGCCTAGGTTGGGCACGGTGGCTCATGCCTGTAATCCCAGCACCTTGGGCGAAACCCACTTTGGGAGGCCAAGGTGGGCTGATAACCTGAGGTTGGGAATTCAAGACCAGCTTGACCAACATGGAGAAACCCTGTCTCCACTAAAAATACAGAATTAGCCAGGCGTGGTGGTGCATGCTTGTAATCCCAGATACTCCGGAGGCTGAGACAGGAGAATCGTTTGATCTGGGGAGGTGGAAGTTGTGGTAAGCCCAGATCGCACCATTGCGCTCCAGCCTGGGCAGGGCCTAGGCCAGGTGTGGTGGCTCATGCCTGTAATCCCAGCATTTTGGGAGGCCGAGGGGGGGGTGGATCAACTGAGGTCAGGAGTTCAAGACCAGCCTGGCCAACATGGCCAAACCTTGTCTCTACTAAAAATAGAAAAATAGCCGTGTGTGGTGGTGCATGCCTATAATCCCAGCTACTTGGGTGGCTGAGGCAGGAGAATCACTTGAACCTGGGAGGTGGAGGTTGCAGTGAGCCAAGATCACACCTCTGCATTCCAGCCTGGGGGACAAGAGCGAAACTCAGTCTCAAGAAAAAAAAGAAAGAAAGAAAGAAATCAGGGCCTAGTGGGAGAACCCAAGCAAGTTAAGGTATGTGTGTGGGTCTGTTTCCCCATCTGAAAATAATGGTTATCTCCCTACAGGCTCACACCTGTAGTCCCAGCACTTTGGGTGGCCAAGGCGGGAGGCTCACTTGAGCCCAGGAGTTAGAGCCCAGCCTGGGCAACATGGAGAAACCCTGTCTCTACAAAAAATACAAAAATTAGACAGGTGTCGTGATGTGTGCCTGTAGTCCCAGCTACTCAGGAGGCTGAGGCAGGAGGATCAGTTGAACCCAAGAGGTGAAGGCTGCAGTGAGCTATGATGGTGCCACTGCATTTCAGCTTGGGCAACATAGTGAGACCTTGTCTCAGGAAAAAAAAAAAAAAGAGTTCTTAAGACTAGATAGAGGCCGGGCGCGGTGGCTCAAGCCTGTAATCCTAGCACTTTGGGAGGCCGAGACGGGCGGATCACGAGGTCAGGAGATCGAGACCATCCTGGCTAACACAGTGAAACCCCGTCTCTACTAAAAAAA